TTTTTCACTCGCTTCATGAAATGAATATGTAACATGATTTTTTTTCATAAAAATATCTTTCGTAACAATGGGAAAAAATGTAACCAAATATGGAGTATATGAATCTTTTTTTTTTACACTACCACTTTAGAGGAACTAGATTCTCAAACACTATTTTATAATCTCAAACCACATAAACATGCAATTACATATATTGGTCACACAAATTTTATTGCAACTTAGTATATCACATCAAAATACAATACCATTGCATAAGGAGAGAATGCATTGAACAATGTATTTTTAAAAAAAATCATTAGGCCATTTTACTTCTGGAAAATGGTAAATACATAAGAAAAGTTTTATTTCTTTATTCTCTTCTAGAGAATATGGACATTTAGAATAAATATCCAATTTGATTCACTTTGGGGGCAAAACATAACACTTTCATAAAATATAGCTATAGTGCCAAAAAAAATTATAAAGTGAATGATCCAAAATTTTGCCTTTATCAAAAATTAGCTAGGGAATCACATAGCATGAGTTGTGTAAACTTGGCAAATATAGAGTATTAAAATGCACATTTTCGTTTCCTTAGCATCAAAAACAAAGATAATCCATAATTGCAAATTTTAATGCCTTTCTTTTTTTTGTTCAAAAACAAAATATGAATGAAGCTACCATTTTACAATGATGCATATCCAAATAAATTTAAATGCCATTTGTGCTTATGATATCTTAATCTTAATTTACATATACACTTAACTCCTCATGTGATAAAACATGATAAAATTTGATACTTCATTTGAAAATCCTCTTTTATAGGTCATGAACATACAAAAGCACAAAATATTTATCACTTTTGTGATCTAAGAATAAATATGTATTTTTTTCTCACATGAGCACCTATATCCATGCTTGTATACAATCATAGCTTTTAAAAGCAATATAACTAAATTTATACGTATATGACCAAGGGTCCAACAATCACAAAATCATTTCTGGGTTTAACTAGTCAATGTATATGCTCAATAAAACATACTCCAACCGTCTAACCGATATATGATCAACATTCATAATATTACTGTTAGTCAAAATGCAAGGCTAACATCATTTTACTCAAAATATCTAGCAAAGAATGTCCTCATTCATAATCCAAGAACATATGTACTAATCAATTCTGCCTTAAGAAAAAGATTATTTTCAAACATGTATAAAGATTGTCATTTACTGTGTACAAATCTATGTTCAGAAGTAGGAGTAAATAGTGGTTTATAAGATGCAATCTTAATTATTCAAGTTCAGAAGCATCGATCATCTAGTTTCAAAATCTGATTAGACACTCAATGTTAATTAACTACAAAATTAAATACGGAGTAACATAGAGTGCGCATTCAATAAAAAATGAATTAAACCATTTTAATATCCAATCAGATTTAAATATGTCCTCTAATCTATATTTTTGTTTGCAATTTCAAGCAATTAAACATGCAATTTTAAAATGCAAAGGTACTGAAATTTTGAAATACCTGGACCATGTGAGAAGAAAATTACTTGAATCGAATTAGTGACCAAGGAGACGTATATTCTCAAACCGTTAGAGTTGACCAATTCAATCCAATTTTAGATTTTGGGGCTATCATATGCTAGAACCATCACTCGGCTTGTTTGGCACCGGAAAAGGAATCAGGGCGGCTGAAAATGAACAGATCTAATCTGCATCGAACTTTTAAGCCGAATCGATCTCACGTGAAGAAGAAGACAAGCTACACGGTGGATCGCGGCAGGCTCGATTGACGACGATAAAACTTTCCGGCAATGATTTCCGGCGACGTCCGGCAAATTCCTCCTCTGCTCCTCTCCGGTCCTATTCTCGACCGGCAAAGAGGAAGGAAGAAGATTGATGAATCGTGATGATGGTGATGTAGGTTTCCAGCAATCTCCCTGACTTATTTGATTCATCGTTCGGCAAGAGGAAGGAAGACAAAAGGAGGCGGCGATGTGGCCTGAAGCTGCTGAGGAGGAAAAATAAAATTAGGGTTTTAGTTTTCGTGCTGATAACGTGTTGTGAACTCGGTACTTTATTCGTCATATATGGGGGTATTTATACATACACGGGAAGAGGTATAGTCTAGGTCAATAAGGAAACAATATATTTTAAATAGAATGAGAAATATATCTGCCATATTTAACAAAAACAACGAAAAAAATTTTAAAAAGGAAAAAAGAAAGAGAAAAAGAAAACAAAATGTAAAGAAAAAAGGTAAGGAATGAGAAAAACAGAAAAAGAATAAAAAAATACGGAGTAAATAAAGAGTTGAAAAAGGAACAAAAGAAAAGAGGGAGAGAGTAAAAAGAAAAATATAAAATAAGAAAAGAGGAAAGAAAGAAAAAACAAAAAAGTACTCTGTCTATTAGAGAATAATATAGGATCTCCTATTCTCCTATGTTTATGTTTACAATTTGTTTCCTTATTTTACTTCATTGTATTTCCTTGCATAGTTGGGAGTCCCATGTATATATATTGATCATCCCTATTCAATAAAGGCATAATATTACTTTCAATATTTTCACATGGTATCGGAGCCTTTTCGACTAAGAGGTCACGGGTTCGAAACTCAGCGCCACCCAGTTTTAAGAAAATTAAAGTTTCAAGTGTAAGGTTCGAAAAAAGACTATGTCTGCACGTGAGGGAACGTGTTAGAATATAAATAATTCATCCTGGGCCATAACCACAAGCTTGACATGGTATCAAATAGTGAATATTGGAATCAATTAGGAAACAATCATTTTTTTTCCCGAGCTTCTCTTCGTCACAGGTTTCACGGCACTTCCGCCGTCCCTGCCATATATACAAGTTCTTGCCGGCGACTTCGTAGGATTTCCCGACGGTATTAGGCCCCTGCTACTCTGGCGAACTTTGCAACTCCAACACGGTAATATTCTTTCAATTGAAGTATCACCAATGCTGGCTTTGTTGCTCTGAAAACCACTGATCCACGAAGCCCGTTTTATCTCCATGCTTCAAATAATCCAGGGGCGTCATAATTGATTACAATATTCATTATTTGTTTAGTTTTGCATTTTTATTGATAATCTAATAAAATAAAATATTTTTGTCACCTCTTATTTTGTATAAATTTTGATGTAGTTTGTAAATATGCAAATTCTATTTTTTATTTATATAAGAATCTTTTAATTAAAATAAATTGAAAAAATTTAGAATTTTCTTCTTTTTGTGCAATTTTTAATCTTATATAGGACGAAAGGAGTAGAAGAAAGGAGAGAAAGAAGAAGGGGGAGTGAGCTGAAAAAGAAAAGATGAAGCTTAAGGGAGTCTAAAGAAAAGAAAAATAAAAAATAAAAATTTATATTTTAGTCTAAAGTTAACTGCTGGTAATAGGTAAACGAATTATTAGTGAAATGAGCATAAGTTTAGATATTTTTGTAAAGGATTTTGAAGTCCAAATACCAAATAATTTTTTTTATGAAAATTCAACTTTAAGGTGGTGTTGGATTTGGTACTCAACTTTAAAGAGAGCGCGGAAGATTATTAAGAAAGTGATTGGAGGTGCCTTTAAGAGTAAAGACTCAAGCAAATGAGACGTTTTAGAGTAATGCTAGAGTTACAAACAAACATATCATAAAATTCACAAACTTGACTTTTTAACACTTTCCTAAAAATAAGGTGTACTTAAATAATAAAAGATATTTTAATTTAAAATCAATAAAAGGCAGGTTTGTGAACTAATCCAACATGTAAGCCCCCCACTCAAACTTAGGGCCGGGTTGGAAAAACTGGAAACCACAAACCAAAACGAAATCAATCGAAACGGGTAAGAAAAAAAATCAAATTGAAAAAATAGGAATCGAATGTAAAAAATCGGACCGAACCGTTATTGTTTAGTTTCCGTTTTGGTTTTCACTTTGACAACAGAACCGAATAAGTCGAACTTTCTCAAGTACTTCGCTTTATTTATATGAGTATATGAGATATGTGAAAAATCATAGAAATATAAATACAAATGTTTGACTAGTCGATTAAAACTATTTTTAAACTATTAATTAATCATTCTAAACCATTTTATAAACTTTAAAAAAGCCTAAGAATATAAGCACCAATAACTAACCTTAGGGGCGGACCCAGAACATTTATACCATGAGGTCGCACCCAGAAAATTTACAATACATATACATTAAAGTTTATACTACGTATATATTATTGAAAATACTAATTAAAAATAGTTCTACATTGGAAATGTGAAATACATCTTACAATTGATAACGTCTAGTTATCATATTTTGAAAGTGATTTATTATTTTATCATTGCTAATACTAGCAAAGACATTTCTTTTAATATATGTCACTAGACAATCATTTAACCATTAGTCACGAATTTTGTTTCGAACTTCATTCTTCACAAACTTCACAACTTCATAATTTGACATTACTATAACAAGAAACTTATGAGCTTTAGGTTGGAAAGGACCCTTTTTCATATAAGAACAACGAATTTCATCTTGTACATTTAGATGATAATCTATAATTATCTTTCTTAGTCCCGGATCAGCTTCTAATGATTCAAAATCCAAAGATGATGATATATTTGGATTCAAATTTGATGTTTCCGGTGGATGATTTAAACATGACAAAGCATTTGCGTTCAAATTTGATAAATTCTCACTCGGATAGGGAAGAGCTTCGAGCGTTCTTCAAGCTCCAAGAAGAAGAGGTAGAGAAAGGTGGAAAGCTTCGAGCGTTTCCGAGCTCCAAGAAAAGAGAGACAAGAGATTAAAAGAATTCTTGTTTATTGATTGATTTAATAATAATAACGAAAGGTTACAATATATAAAGACGCAGAAAACCCTAATTGACCTAATGGGCTCGGGCCCATACTAAAACCCTAAACCATCAATAAATAATAATAATAATAATAATAAATAACTACTAAATAATAATATAACTAATTAAAATATTTTAATTAACTATCCGTATCATTCCCACCCCCTTAAAAATCCACCTTGTCCTTAAGGTGGAGGCTCCCACTCGTGCTTTAGGACCGGAGAAAGAATGTTGAACCAAAGGAGCAATCCACTCTTTGAATCTTCAACCATCTTGGATCTTGGAGAAAAGTGATGGAAAGATAAGACGGGGCGCAGAACATATGTAGTTGCTCTCGGTGAAACCAGGTGCTCCGTCTTGACCACATCGACAAGCTCAAACAACTTGATGGTGTCAATCAACATAGGTGCGGGTGCTTGTTTACCATCTTCATCTCTCACTTTGTCAACACTTTTTGAAATAGCATATTCTTCAATGACCACACCAGCTGAGGTTGAAAATTCTTGAAAAGTAAGATCTGGCTTGTCGACATTAGCAACATCTTCTGCAAGAGGACCTTCATTTTTGTCCACAACGTTGGACCTCCCGTCATCTTTGTTTATTGCTTCAGGCCCGGTGTCCACTTCATCTCCAACTTGTGAGTCAACTCTTGATTCCTCTTTGGATGCGTGATCCTGTGCTTCAGCGTTTTGCTCAATTACTGTAGAGACCACATTTGACGCATATGGCAGAGTGTCAATGAGAATTTTTATAGCGCCCAACATGTTTGTCCTAAAGTTTTGTAACTCCCAAGGAATCAAACTCGGCAAAATTGGGGGACCACGAACCAAATCTTACATGGAGCAAGAGATTTCGACATCAAACGCGTACAAGTTGGAGTCATAATTTGGCGGACCAATAGTATGACGAAACGACCGGAGCGTCTTTATAAGTTCATCCACATGATCATAAACTCCACACACTCCATCGTCTAGATCAATTTCTCCATATAAAACATTTTCCAACAAATCAATAAGTTTATCCAATGCACAAGTACTCACAATTAAAGTCTCTAACCGAGCGAATCGCGCCTCCATTCTTGAAGAAAAATCATAGTGCATGATGGACATCTTTTTTTCCTTGGGCTTGCAAAAGCCGAAAGCAATTTTGCAGCAAGAAAAAAAATGATCCTGCTATGATTAAGGCGGCAACAAATTTGGTCTTACTCCGCAGAATTTTGAGCAGCGACAATCGAATTGAGCTTCTTGGCTTCTGGACAAGCCGACAATTGATTTCTTCTTAGCACTTTCAATCAAGAAACAATAGCAAATAAGCAAATCTAGACCCTTTTTTTGTCGTGGGGCGCAATATTGCTGCAAAGTAGTGTAGCCTCAATATTAAATTTAGATTTTAATTAATACTCTGGATCATCCGGAATGTGCAGCGAACGGCGGCCAGGTTTTTTTTTTCCGGCCCTTGAATCCTTACACCTTGTACTCCAAATAAAATGCTTGTAGCTATGAAGACTGATCAGCGCCTAAACACTTTCGTAGCAATTGGGTTCTGCAATTGTGGCAGCAAACTAGGGATTGCAGCGACATAAGAATCCGGCAAGGGCAAAGGGGGACACGGCGGCTGCAACTAGATCGGCACAATTTTTTTTTGGGACTTTTTTTTGGTGTTCGAAAGCACCAATTGATACGAATATCGTATCGGATAGGGAAGAACTTCGAGCGTTCTTCAAGCTCCAAGAAGAAGAGGTAGAGAAAGGTGGAAAGCTTCGAGCGTTTCCGAGCTCCAAGAAAAGAGAGACGAGAGATTAAGAGTATTCTTGTTTATTGATTGATTTAATAATAATAACGAAAGGTTACAATATATAAAGACGCAGAAAACCCTAATTGACCTAATGGGCTCGGGCCCATACTAAAACCCTAAACCATCAATAAATAATAATAATAATAATAAATAACTACTAAATAATAATATAACTAATTAAAATATTTTAATTAACTATCCGTATCAGTGCCTTTTTAAAATACTTTTGCATCCTATATTGAAATTTAAATAATTAAAAACATTATAAACTTAAAATATAAGTACATAAGACCATAAGTACATAACTAAATTATATTTACATATTCACAAATCACAATCTTACAAAATAAATAAACGAATTCAATTTCCTATTATGCTATTCACAATAACAAATTTATAACAATTAATTAAAATTTTCACAATTTACAAATAAAAAAGAAATATCCAATTTAGATAATTAGTATCAATTATGTAAGAAAAAACCTATCAAAGAGAAGATTTAAATTTGTTCGAGAAATTAGGGCCTTGGGGGTCCTCGTCGGTTCCAACTTCCAAGTGGCGGTCGGTAGTCGGCCGTGGGCGAGAGAGGATGAGTCAGTCTCAACTTCCGATTTTGCAATTAGGTCCGGGAAAGTGCCGAAGTGGGATGGGTGGATTGGAACTGTAGGTTTTAGAGAAAATTGAAAAATAAAAGAAACAAAATGACCCAGTTTTAGATATCCATCTTCCAAAAAATTAAATGTATAGTCTCCCTAAAGCTGGATTCGAACACAGGAACATCCACCCAAGTGAAAAACACAGATATTTCCACTCCTACAAAGAAGCGGGTCAAGGCTTTTAGCATTTTGTAAAATATATACTAAATCTAGGTATACACAAAAAAATTATATATATATATATATATATATATATATATATATATATATATATATATATATATATATATAGATTTTGGTTCAAGTGAGAATGCAATCTAATGAAAGAAATAAGAATGAATCTAGTGTATTAGATTAGGAGATCTAAGGGTTAGGATTGCATCAAAATTAGGTGCACTAAGATGGTTTGAAAATGCATCATGTCGAGATGCACCATAATCCTTTAAAAATGCACTATCTCGAAATTTGAGTGCTGAATGCAATCTGAGCCGCACGATGCATCAGATCCAAAAGCTAGATTTTATTCTTATTTTTTTCACCAAGGTGCATTCTCACTTGAACCAGCCCATATATATATATATATATATATATATATATATATATATATATATATATATATATATATATATATATATATATATACTAAAAAGATTTAAAATTTCCGTGGGGTCGCTTGACCCCGTGTGACCCTATGTGGTTCCTGACTAACCTAATACTCCCTCCGTCCCACAAAAAAATTCTCATTTTGACCATAAATTAAATATAATCTAAATAAAGAAATGCTAAAAAAATTTGAGATATCAAAACTAGATTCTAAGAAGAATCCAATTATATTAAAATTTATTTTATAATTCAATATACCTTTCTCACAATTTGTAGTCAAAGCGTGTAAATATTTTCCTAAATACTATTCAAAATGAGAATTTTTTTGTGGGACGGAGGGAGTACAAAATTATATTTACATTAAACATTGAAACGAGTAGTTTACATATTTGTATAACAATCTTTGATGTTATAAAATGAAAATATTATACCAAAAACACAAATTCTGTGTATATTTACATACGATGCCTTTGAGAGTATTTAAAATCTCCTAATTTTTTCTTGGATACTCAGTACATATTTTTTTGTAAAATTGAACAAAACGGAACACTAACATTTTGTTTCGTTTTTGGTTTTGTATAAAAATCAAACAAAAAAACCGAACCCAAACATCTATATTTTTATTCCTTCATCGGGTTAGTATTTTTATAATTTTTTAATTCTTATAAATTTTATTTTTATAAACAAAAAAACGAAATAAAAACCAAACTGAAAAACCAACGATTTACATATTTTTTTATGCAAAATCAAACCGCCAATTTACTTTTCGTTTTGTCTTTAGTTTTGGTTGAAAACTGAACTGCCAAAACCCAACCCACATAGTCAAACAAATATTTTAGGGTTATTTAAACCCAGCCGCTAGAATCATTTCTTCTGATCACCTACCTAATCGGCCGCTTCCACATCCACCCAGGCCAGGCAGGTATTATTCATTCTTATTCCTCAAATCCTTTCTTTCTTGTTGGGCTGTTTACCATCCATTCATATGTTGTCAGAGTGTTCCCGGAGATGGTCCGTTAGTTTGTGGGATATTTTTAGTGGGATATAATTACTGTTAAAAGAAGAATGGTTGTTTTTTTAATGCTGTAAATAAATCCTGCTGTCCTCCCTACTTTTAGATTTTAGATCGATGATGACAATAAAGTATTAAGTACTAGTAATAAAAAACAAATTTCTTCATATTAATATTCATCCAAATTACAGATCACCCATACAATTCGAGATAACTTCAAAGAAATGAAACAGATCACCCAAACGTTCCAGCTTTGAATTTTTCTAAGATGATTATAATTACTACTCTCTCGGTCGTTGTGTATTTGTCAATTTTTTATTTTTTGGTCAAGATTAGTAAATTTTGATCTAAAATTAAATAAAAATGATATTAGATATTGATTCAAAAAAATTAGAATAGATTTATTATATTAAATATTTTTAAAATATTATTTTATCTAATTAATATACAATATATATTTTTATTTAATTATAGGTCAAAGATCGAAAACAGTTGAATACTCCGGGTGGGAGATACGGAGTAGTAGTTACTACTCCGGGGTATGTTATATTTACTTTTGAGAAAAAAAGGACCCTAAACGCTTGCATTGTTTGGTTAAGGAGGAAGAGAAATGAAAACTAAAAAATGAGAAGGCAAAATATATTTAATAGAGAAACAAGAAATCTCGTATTTCAACTAGAAAAGGAGAGAAAATTATTTTCTTTGAACCAAAGCTATTGTGAAAGTTTGTGTAGTGCTTTTTATTCCAATGTGAATTGAGTTCAATGATGCTCTACCTTTTTCGACGCATACTATTCTTTAAACAACTGCCGTCAACAAAACATTATCATTTGTTCTCCACTACACTTTGTGTTTTTTTTTTCATGCGAACTTAACAAAAAAAGTAATACAGCACATAGGAAATGTTTTTTTAATAAATTGCAAATGAACGAGAAAATAGAATGTTAATAACGTGATGGTGGTCCCTAGCATAAGACAAGCAAAAGACTATGTGAATATGGATAAAACAGAGAATATGAGACTCCTGATGGTTTTTAAAAAACATTTTATGAGTTATTTCGAGAAAACTGAGTTCCTATATCGTACAACCGGATGTACACAGAGATAGGTACATCCGGGTATTACTCATTCTGAAGTAGAGTAGTACTCATTCTCGCACAAACATATCTATGATGTGGTACTAATTCTAAAAAAATGTAGTACTCATTCTAAAATAATGTAGTACTCATTTTCACAAATTTATTCAATACAATTATAAAATTTATCTACAAATAACGTAATGTACATTCTAAAATAAAATAGTACTCATTTTTAAAAAACTTAATGTTGATTCTCAAATAAATAAAATTCATAACATCCATACTTTTCTTTTTTCTCTCACCCCTGCAACCATCGGCTCCGATCAGATCGATCGACTCCTCCACAACGTCTCCCATCTGGCGGCCATCTATCCTCCGGCCTATCAACAGCTTCCTCCATCGACGGTGCACATCTCCCTTCCATAGACGTCTCCCATCTGGCGGCCATCTTTCTTCCTCCAGATCTGACGCAGCTCCTTCGACGCAGCTTCCTTCCTCCGACCCGACCCGACTAGCTCCTCCTATAGACGCCATTTCTTCTTTGATTTACCGGCTGTACCCAATTTTGGGTACAGCCGGTTGTATAGTATAATTTGCCGAGAAAACTAGCCTTAACCGAAAGTAATTTTTGTGGAAAATTGCTTTAGTACAAGTGGATGCATATACTCCATTTTTCGTCCCCAAAAAAAGTCCCAGTTTAACTTTATGGAGTTCAAAATAGTTATTGAAAAATGAAAAGTGTGTATAGAGAAGAGAGAAATGTTGCAAGTCACTAAAGTACTACTTGAGAAATCTTTTTTCAATGAGAAGGAAAAAGTAATAATAAGTTTATTTTGGAACGAATGAAAAAGGGTTGAAACTTTGATTTGGGAACAGAGACAGAGTATATATGATATATATGGACAGATCTGATTATGCTTTCTTAGCCATGAAAATATATATTCTGATGCTTGTAGAAAGTTAGGAACCGAGAATTGAATTTATTCTCACAAGTAATTAATAAATTATTTTATAGTCATAATCAGCCGCCAAAAATATACTTTCTGATTTTCCTTTCCCTTCACAAGTGCCTAAACCCTGCCATTTTTTTTATCCTCAAAACACAGTTTTTTTTCAGATAGTTGTTTGGAACCGCATATGAAAATGATGATGCAAATGGAGAAAGTAAAGCTGCAGTTTGGGGTACGACTCTTGTTAGTAGCCATAGCCTTTGGAGTTTTTGCGGCGGAGTCTATCATCTTAAGACCTTCCAAGTTAGAGATGTTTGTTGACAAACTCCCACATATGCCCAGAATCAAAGGCTATGATGTGGTTCATGGCCGTCCTGTTCCCAAATCACTCAACATTGGCATGTTTCACAAGAAATGGGTCAGTCTTTATTTTATGGATGTAATCGATCAACTAACATCTGTGGTCATACCTCCCAACTAATTAAATTGCTAAATTCTCATTTTGAATTTATTGATACAAGTACTTTACTGGAGTAATAGGGTGGAGTATTGTTATATATGTTAAATGTTGCAATGCAGAAGTTTCACAGAGATCTTCCATCAACCCCGGTGTTCTCATACGGCAAGTCGAGGCACGCAGCAACGGTTCCTGGTCCTACAATCGAGGCGCTTCACGGAGTTGACACATACGTTACATGGGAAAACCATCTCCCTTCCCAACACATACTCCCTTGGGACCCAACCATCCCCACTGCTCAACCCAAGAAGAAGGGCGGGGGGATCCCGACGGTGGTCCACCTGCACGGAGGAATTGACGAACCCGAGAGCGATGGCAACCCAAATGCATGGTTCACTGCCGCATTTGGAGAGCGTGGGACCGCGTGGACGAAGAAGATGTACCACTATCACAACATTCAACAACCTGGGACCCTGTGGTACCATGACCATGCCATGGGGTTGACCAGAGTCAACCTCCTGGCTGGTCTGTGCGGGGCGTACATCATACGGCAGCCGGATATTGAGAACCCACTCCGGTTGCCAAACGATCTTCCGTTGGTCGTCTTTGATCGCAGCTTCAACACCAACGGTTCGATCTACATGAACTCTACGGGAAACAATCCGTCCATACACCCACAATGGCAACCCGAGTACTTTGGCGATGCCATCATAGTCAATGGCAAAGCATGGCCCTACATGATCGTGCGACTTAGAAAATACAGGTTCAGGATCATCAATGCCAGTAATGCCCGTTTTTTCAACTTTTACTTCCTCAACAACTTGACCTTTATCCACGTGGCATCGGACTCGGCGTACAACGAACACCCCGTTGCACTCCGTGAGGTCCTCCTAGCCCCATCTGAAATTGCCGACGTTGTGGTTGACTTTTCCAAGTCAAATTCAAAATCAGCAATCCTAGCTAATAATGCCCCATACCCTTACCCTTCGGGTGACCCCACTGACGAAGCTAATAGCAAAGTTATGAAATTCATCCTGAAGTCTGGTCGCGAGCATGACACATTACGAATTCCCAATAAACTCATAAAATATCCCACCCCAAACTTATCAGAGGCCACAACCACAAGGTACATCGCTCTGTTTGAGTATACGAGCGATGTTGACGAGCCTACACATCTATACATCAACGGGAAATCATATGACGCTCCAGTTACGGAGAGACCAAAAGCGGGAACAAGTGAGATATGGAATGTGATAAATCTAACGGAGGATAACCATCCATTGCACATCCATTTAGGCCTTTTCAAGGTGTTGGATCAAACCAAGTTGGTGAAAGAGGAGGAGTTTAAAGCATGTATGGTGAAGTTAAACAACGCGGTCAAGTGTAAAGTGAAGGAGCATACGCGCGGAGAAAGGGTAGAGGTGCGAGCACACGAGAAAGGATGGAAGAATGTGTACAAGACGATGCCCGGCTATGTGACAAGAATCTTTGTCACATTTTCCTTCATCCATTCAAATGCTTCCTACCCTTTTGATGCCACGGCAGAGCCCGGTTATGCCTACCATTGTCACGTAAGTATAAAGCTAGTATTACTTCCTTCCTCCCTTCTTTTTATATTTCATTTTCATTTTATATGGTACACTTTTTTAAAGATTCATAATTATGTGCGGGTGTGTGTGTGGTGGGAATTTATTCAGAAAAGAGTACCAGTATCAATTACAGATTTACATGTCTTAAAAAGAGTTAATTTTGAGAGGGATGAAAACAAACAAGGGAGCGGGAAGAGTATTGATTACTCCCTACTTGGCTTTTTTTCTACTACGGAGTACATTTCATGTTTTATTTCAAAAGAACACTCCGTACGTTTTTCAGTTCCTATACTTTTACCTTGGGGTGAGTTCAGTTTTAATCGTTCAGTTTTCATCCAAAACCAAAGACAAAACGGAAGGTGTTAACGGTTCGGTTCGGTTTGGGTTTACACCAAAAATACTAAATCGTTGGTCATTCAATTTGTTTTTTTTTTTTAGATTTTCGGTTTTTAAAATTAAAAAATTATAAGCATTAAAAAAGTGGTAACAAACACTAACTCGATGAAGCGGGTAATTTACATAAATAGGACTAAAACATAATGACTTTCTCAATATAGGACCATATGTTTTTATTTTTCAATATAGGACCATTAGTCATTATCTATTAGTCATTATTCAACTAAATGTCTAGCATCATTTGGACATTATTTTTCTCACTAGTCATTATTAAGTTCTATTTAGGGAATAAAAAATTTTAAGTTCTACATAGGGAAATGACTTATGTTTTAGTCCTATTCAGTACAAATTTCACTTAAAATATGTAAGGTTGGGTTTGGTAACTTGGTTTTCTTATTTCAATTTTTACCCAAAACAAAAATCCGAACAAGTTAGAGTTCGATTAAGTTTAGTTTTATATTTAAAAAAATATGTGGAGTGCCCAACAAACATCTAAGAGATTTCAAATACTCTCAAGGCTTTTGTATGTAAGTATCAATTGTGGGGAATTTACGTTTGTTGGTATAAAACATTCATTTCCACTATAATATCAAATTTTTTCATGTAAATTACTCGTATCAATATTTAATGTTAATATAATTCCGTATTAGGAATAGTTATTTGTGTTTAGATTTCTAGGATTTCTTAAAGTTTATAATATGGTTTAAAATGTTTAATAGTTATGGAAAATGACTTTAACCAACTAATCAGTTATTTACATTTATATTTCTATAATATTTTTGCATACCACATATATTCATATACATAAAACAAAATACCTAAGAAAATTTGGTTTATTCAGTTCGGTTAGTTTTTCAAAGTGAAAATCAAAACGGAAATCAAATAATAACGGTTTGGTTTTTTACATTCGATTTAAGTTTTTCAGTTCGGTTTATTTTCTAACTCTTTTCAATCAGTTTCGGTTCGGTTTGCGATTTTTGATTTTCCCAATTCAGCCCTACTTTTACCTCAGTCCTATTGCATGTGATCTTCTCATTCAAACTCCTACAATTACGTTTTCCATGCCATTGTCATTCAATGTATGGTATGACATGGGCTCCAATTGAGACACATACGGTGTCTGGTTCGTAAAATTAACGGTTTCTATCATTCATAATCTTCCGATAAATCTTCACCCGGCCAACCCACATACACCCCGACCCGAATCGATCCCTTTCAATTGTACTTCCAAAATTTGTTCACTTTGGGGTTGAATTTTTCAACACCAAAGTTAACTAATTTTAAGGAGTGCAATTGAATAGGGTGGGAAGTGAGTTCGTGTCGGGCCGGGTAAGCGAGTTTACCGGGAAGTCAAGAGGGTAGGAATCGTTAATTTTAAGAACTAGGTAACGCCCCAATTGGAGCACATGACATTGAATTGCAATCTCATGAGAATCCCTCCAACTTTTACTTCTAGTTTGAATGTGTCATTCTTTACTACTCCGTATTTCTTTTTTTTTGTGGGAGGGGGGGGGGGGGGGGGGTCTTTACTGTTGCATTTTAATCTCTGTTTAAGATAAGCATTCTCTGTGGCGTAAGCCGAGCTCCCTTCCCACAAAGAAGTATTAACTTTTTTTTTCAAAAAAAAAAAAAAACTTCTTATTTACATATCAATTATTATTCCCAAGAGAAGAGCAATTAAATTATTTATTTTGAAAACTAAGTATAGTCTTATAATTACATCTTGGGTATTTATATAACCAATCATGACTATGTACATTATGTAAAATGCACATGTACAGTGACATTATTATTGTATGAATTCTTATTTAAGGAAAAAAAATATAAAATTTCTATTTTGGTACTTTTTCTAAGTTTTAGCTTTATTCAGGGTGAGTTCTATACATCATATGTACCAAATAAAAATCATATTATGATCATACAGAGAGTAAATAAATCACCTAATTAAATATGACTAAAACATAGAAAAAAGTATCGAAATAAGAGTTTGTAGTTAGTAATGTAGCACTGTACATGTGTATTTTACGTAATGTACATGATCATGATTGGTAATGTAAATGCATATTAACTTCTATTTTGAGAATAAAAACATAGAAATTTTATATTGGCATATTTTCAATGTTTTATTTCTATTGTAGTCTTTTTCCCTACGGAGTACGGAGTATTTGTTTTCACAAATAACTATATTGCTTTTCTTATTTCCTATTTTGCAGATTTTGGATCATGAAGACAATGTCATGATGCGTCCCTTAAAATTCGTACATTAAGAATTGAAAAATACAATCAAATTGTAAAAACGATAGACTTATAATCGCAGGAGTTGC